TCATACAAAATAAATAGATGGTGAGACTCTCAAAATAGATTATTAGCTTGGGAAAGTCTTTCAATAAATAGAAGATATCTCAAAATAGAAGGAACATGTATGACATCTAATAACCTTAAATTTGTAGTGGATGTAGAAATATGACAAGTACCAATGTGATGAATGGAAAGAAACTCACCATTACCAACTTGTAGCTAATACTATCCCTAATAAGGTTCATAGTTCCTTATACCAGCCAGATTAGGAGTGACTAAGTAAGAAGCACTAGTGTTAGGACATTAGGAGTAGGGTGTAAACCTAGTAGATGTCATAAAGTCGCTAACTAAATTAGCCGATAAGGAGAATGAGTTAGCAAACGAGTTATAAATAGTGAATGGCAAGTGTGATTGCATACACGAAAAAATTGACAATGAGTTTTGTTATCATAGTTAGAGGAGTTCGACTCGTTATCATAATTGAAGGTCCCGCCATAGCCCCCACCACACCATCTTCTCCTTTGGTCTCTCCCATACTATCGACTAGACACACTAGACCAATTAGAATAATTAACTCTAATAATTTGATCGAAGATAGTTAAAGGTAGAGAAAGAAGGATAGGTTATGCTAGCAATAAATCCTTATTGAGAAACTCATGACTAAGCAACAAGCCATGAAGCTTAGTAAAGAAGCAAAGATCGTGTATTGTATTTAAGGTTGTGATGATATCTTTGAAATCCGTAGTGATTAGTCCTCTAAAAATGTATAAATTAAAATATATGTGAGATAAAGAGATACTTGTTGTAGTGAATTCATCATTGTAGGATTTGGCTTGCTATAGATATTGAGTTATAGATTCGGTATCTTCTTGTCGAAGCCTCTGAGAGCTAAATCCGAGTGTCATGATATGAGTACTAGAAGTAAAGGCAAGTTCACTTTTTAGGATAGTCAATAACTCTTTTAAGATGGTATAATCAATAACCGTAGATAAAATATAAATTTAAAGTGATGAGATGATGGTGCTCATTAAAAAGTTAATCTTACTAAATCCAATAATGACAGTTTGAATTGTCCTATGGTTACCACCTTTGGTAGCCAAAAGATGGAAGAGAGGACATGGATTGTTTCTATCAACAAAACAAAAAATGACCTAAGTAGGAAAGATCACATTTGGGTGCACCAAAAAAAAAATAGTTAGAAGGGTAAATTTGATGGAGATAATGTGGTGGGCATTGAAGATTTAGGATAAGGGAGTAGTGAAGTTTTGGGTACGAGGAGTGTTTGAAAAAGGCGAGAAGAGTGTTTCTAGAAAAAGACATAGAATCATCCGAGGCCATGTTGTGTAGTATTGCGAAAGCTTCTAATACCAAATTGAAGTTTAAGAAAATATATTGGAAGAAATATTTAGTCTACACAATCTTCTATATTATACGCTACTTGTATTAATACATATTTTTGTTACATCCGATTGGTGTTACAATAACGAGTAAAAGGTTTAATACATTGTATTACCAAGTGTTTGTAGCAAAAAATGTAGAATCATCTGATGCCAAGTTGTGTAGTATTATAGAAAGGTTCGACACCAAATTGAAGTTTAAGAAAATATATTAGAAGAAATATTTAGTCTACACAATCTCCTACATTATACGGTACTTGTATTAATACATATTTTTGTTACATCCGATTGGTGTTACAATAACGATAAAAGGTTTAATACATTATATTACCGAGTGTTTGTAGCAAAAAATGTAGAATCATCCGAGGCCAAGTTGTGTAGTATTATAGAAAGGTTCTAACACCATACCGAATTTTAAGAAAATATATTAGAAGAAATATTTAGTCTACACAATCTTTTGTATTACTCTCTACTTGTATTAATACATATTTTTGTTACATCCGATTGTTGTTACAATAAAAGTAAAAGGATTAGTACATTATATTATAGAGTAATAACTATTATTGACTTAAAATTTATATCTACGAGTTAAAATTTTTTGTTTCCTCGAGTCTCTCATTCTCCTTAGCTTGTTCTTATAGTGAGGAGTGTAAGAAGATTGAATTGGAATGTAAGTCTTTCTTATCTTATAGTGATTAGGCTAATACGGACAAATTTTAATTTCTTTGTTCTAAGCTTTGTATTGGCCCTTTTTACTTGACACCATAAGCTCATTGAGGCATATTAATTCTACTTTATAATCTTGGCAAAATAGGTTATATTTCTAACATATATATGCACCTTAACTTAATGTATGGTAGACTTATGTTAGCTTTATATTATTGTACTTATACGGTAACTATATATACAAGGCTTGTAATTCACTCAAGGGTTATAATAACACACTAGTATAAATAGCAATACTATGCTTTTGGTATCTTATGAAGAACCAACCCATAAACTCTCGTGCATCCTTAGTTTTAATTATAAAAACCTATACGGATTGCCCATCTAATGTGTATTGTGTAGTATATATAATTCTTAAATGTCATAATAAAAATTAATTGTAAATATGAATTAGAGAAACATATGACTACTAAATGCATAACAAAAAGAAGAAGAAAAAGATGGCAAGCATCATAATAAGTTTAAGAGTCTAATAATTGAGTACAATTATTAGAGAATAATATAAAATCACAATGATATCTCATCCAAAAATTTGGAATTAAAATAAATTTTTTAAAATTAAATATTTAAAAATAAATTTCTTAGAATCCTAAAAAAATTATCAATAAATGAAAAAATTAAATTATTATACTCGCATAGTAGCATTAGAATTAAGAAAACTCTTGAAACTTCTTACTAGAAAAAAAGAAAAGAAAAAGATAATTACTTAAAACTTATGCTTTAGGAAAAATGATTTATATGCTTGATTTTTTTTCCTTAAAATTTATTAAGTAATTTAGGTAATTTTATTATGTATTAATTCATGTTATCTTACTTGGTTTTGGCATGTGTTAAAAAAGATATTTCACATTGAATAGCTAAACGAAGATAAGTTATTTATAAAATTGAGAATGGACCATCCATGAGGCTTAAGTCTTTTGAATGGATCCAATCTTAACAATATAACTCTATATGGTATCAAAATTTTTAAAAGGTCCAATGACCCAATAAACATCTTGGATCACAATCCACTTGGTAGACTTAAAAGATAAGCTATAAGTGAGAGAGAGTGTTAAAAAACATATCACATATTAAATAGTTAAATCAAAGATGAGTAATATGAATGTTGAGAATGGACCACCCATCGTAGAGCTTAAGTTTTTTTTTTTTTTAGAACCTAGTATCAACCATGTAACTCTATAACATGGGTCCAATTTACATAACAAATGGATTGGAGTGATGATGACTCTCGCCTAGCATAAGGCTTCAAACCTTACAAAGATGGCCATGGATGTTCTAGTAAAGCTAGTATCCACTTCTTATCTTTGAATTGCATTAGAAAGAATTGCTTAGTGGCCCGCAGTAGAGTTCGTTAAAGAAAGATTGAATTGTTACTTTTTTTTAACTTTTGTAAGCAAATTGAACTAGGTTAGTCCATAAGAACCTAACTTCTTTAACTCAAAATCTAACTATTCAAATATAGATAATGTGACGTGATCCTAGCAACCAAATATCACCTTCAATTTATTATAAATATCAATCTCATATTATTATGAGAGAATTCAAATCATTTAATCTCTAGTAAAAAAAAAAAAAATTAATAAAATTCTAAACTCCCCCCCCCTCTCTCTCTCTCACACACACACACTCACACTCACTCTCTCTCTCTCTCTCTCACGCACACCCACCCTAATAAAATTTAAAATTTCATCACTTTAGATATTGACTCACTCGACCTATCAACTATTCGATTTGTGTTTTGCTAATATTACTCTCTCTCTCTCTCTCATGCATGCGCACACACACACCAACAACATCTAAAATTCTATTATTTTGGACATTGACTCACTTAACCTATCAACTACCTAACTTGCGTGTTGTTAAAATTGTTTGTTTTTTCCCTTAGGTTTCTTAATACTTGTATTCATTCTAATTTGTTTGTTGATTATTGATTCTAAAATTCATAATACTAGCTCTTTATATCACAACCAGTCTATTGACCAATTATTTGATTAGTTTTCAAAAATCTCTCGAAAAATTATAAATAATTAAAACTTATCATAAAACTTGAGATTTAATTCATAATAATGATAATTGGCTGAATTCAATGACTTGAAAAATGGAGATGGAACATGTTAAGAGAATGTATACGTAATAGATGCATACTTTCGTACTAGAAAAATATATTGGACAGTAGAACATCTTTGGCCGTGAATGTACGTATTATTGATACTCTCTGAAGTATGTATCTCTCCTCTCACGGCGGGGAGTTGGAGGTGCATCTCCATACGTGGGGCCATATGCTTTAGATCTAAATAGATACATGCCAACTTGAACTCTAGATTTGTAGGCTTATATGCGAGGCAGATGTGGCTAGCCGAAAGTAAATCTGTTTACCGATTTCAAGAACGTCCAAAACATGAATGGCACACTAAGTTATATATCCCGAGAACAAGAATAAATTCTTATTGGAGGATAACGGAAATAGGCATAGACAAGGTGGTCGGGTGTGTGGTTTATTTGTGTGTACATTTTTAGGTCCACACACCTGAGCAAATCAAGATTCACTTTTCATGTTTCCTGGTTGTTCTCCCTTTGAATGACATGTAAGATGTCGATGGATAAAAATCTACATTATTTAGCCCATATCTAATCATCCAGAGAATTTAGGAAAACTACATATACCATAAAACAAACGATATGGCACGAAAGAAAATTTTGTTTACGTAATTATCATCTAATGTTAATAGTGCATGCAAATTTTAAACAAAATTAATTAATTATCCGGAGCAAATTTTATTTCCCTAATATTAATATTTTATATTCGTGTTTCCACACATGTAAAAAAGCAGCGACACTCATGATCGATCTAGATTATTTCAACAAATAGAGCTTTGTCATGGTAAAATGCATCAATAATCACTCAAGGGAAATCTAAATCTTCCCCCATTATTTCATGAGCCTGTAACTTCGTCACCGGGATGGGGGCGGCTGTCCTTCGAAGCTGTTGCAACTGAGACTTTGCCTTGTCATTTCTCTTGTATGTAGTCTCAGCAACATCTACTGCTCTCTCACTCTTGCGTCCCAATAGGCCATTTGGGCGGCTTCGTTTGGGTACTGTGGATGTTAAACCGCGATTAATTGTGGTATTTTCAGCCACCATCTTTTCGTCATAGTCGACTGAAACAGCTGAGAAATCAGCAGCACTGGCGGTGACTACACTCCACTCAATGCTGCTCTCACTTGGCTCATAGTATCGGCTGGTTGGTGTCGTACAGCTAGACATGACATCAGATGTTTGCTTGGTGAATATAGGCTGCACATGTGAACAGCCAGATAGGTTCTCAATCTCAAACAAATCCGAACTACCATCGCTTTCAATATCTTCATACATATGGCTACTGGTTGGAGTGGTTGGGAAGTTTGGAGCTTTTGGGATGGCATCCCAAGTTAGCACAGATAGCTTTCTTTCCAGATTCAGTGCTATATCTTCCTTTTTTAACATATGGGAGCCGAAAACCTCTAACGATTTTCGTGGGTCGTCTTCCATGATCTTCTGTTGCCCCTTCTTAACATTCAAGTTTTGCACCCCAGAATTCACGCATGGCAACACAAAGTAATCTTGTCTTTTTGAACCAACACTTGTCCTTCGGAAGCTCGGGATGCAAAACTCATCTTTCACCTGAGTTAATTTTGATTGAGACTGCTTTCTAGTTCCTTCCAGTACGATATGATTGCGAGCAGATTCCTTTCTGATCTCGTTTCCATGAAGCCCTCTGTGACCAATATTTTTATCTACATAAACAGATTTCTTGTCTGAACAAGTGCCATTGCAGGCAAAGCCTGAAAAGAACCATCTTTCATTGACTTTCTGGTGCCTGGTTTGAGAAGAATTTCTCAACGAATTTGGTACCAAAGCAGTTTGACTATTCAAACTTGCTTTAGAAGTCACACTTGGAGTTCCTAATCTGCCTTTTGGTTTCATCTGTTGTAGATCAACCGGGTATTCTTTCTCATGCACGTACTTTCCAGCATTAATATTGTCAATGTTTCTTGGACCATCATCATCCTTTTTCATATTGAAGTATCTCTCCGCGCCGAAGATGCTGATTTCCCCATCTTCAGCTTTAGTTCCCTCTGAGCTGACAGGAGCGGAAATCTCTTTGCTTGAAGTGATGGCAGGATGGGTAAACTGCACTGACTGATCAGCTGTCAGCTGAAGTACAAAATTATCTTCTTGTTGGGTAAGATAAGAAGAAAATGAGGCTTCACGATGATCGGTGCTGCTTTTTCTGTCCATGGTTCCAGAGAGTGGGAGATCTAGTGGGCTAAGAACCTAGGAATAAATCCTGTGGGAAGGAAAGAAGAGAGGAAGTAGATGCTGAGAACCTTGTGGAGAGAGCACAACGCGCGCTTTACAGAGTGACTTTTTGAATGATAGGAATCAGCTTTCGAAGATACTATAGCTATAACAGTAAGGAAGAAATGGTATTGAGCAAGTGTATAAGAACAGAGTTTTGACTGGGAGAAGATTAAAGATCTCGTGGCCAGATTCTTGAGGACCAAATTCTATATTTGTAGGGCACGTGGGGGCTGCAAAATATGTGCCTAGCTACAATATGGTACATGTTTTATAGCTAGATTAAGTAAAGGAATTATCTAATATTTTGGAAATTTTATTCTTTTCTTCAGTCATAAATAAGTTTTGTAATAAGTTTTATATTTTTATAAATAAAAAATACCAATACAACTTCTATCATACTTAATAATTTATTTCGATTATTTCTCATACTAGAAGTTAGTCGATGACCCACAATCCATCTTCCCCTCGTCCTAATGCTTTAGACTTTACATTACGCCGTGGTATAATAATTATTCCAATGTTAATGCAGTGGTAATGTTAATGTACTTGGTCATCCGTCCAACACTATATGTGGACAACATGGTGACAAGTGGCTCAAAAATTAGGATCGACCATTCGTTGTATAAGCTCTCTTACGGGGTATGAGGGGACCAAATCAATACATTTATTTATCACTAGAAAAATTTTGGTTGATAAAAATTTTCAATAATTATTACCCTCTTTATTGTAAAAGATATTGTTTTTTTTTTTTCAAAAACATAAATAAAAGAAAGTTATTAATTATCTAAAAGAGTTGACTTAAATAGGATAAACTCTAGTCATTTAACCAAAGAGTTTCGGATTCGAGTCTTTATTTATACAAAAAATTTCTTAAATAAATGTATCGGTTTTGTGTATTCGATAGAATAGCGAATGATTAATGTGAATTTTTAGACATGCGATACCTTGGGGAAAAAGAAAAATAAACAAATAAGTAAGGTTATTAATTATTATATTATATGAGTATCTCTTGTTCATATTTTTCTAAAATATATATTTTTTATAATTATATTTGAATAATATTTTTCAAAATAGATTTAATTTAAAAATATTTTTTAAAAAATACATAATTTAAAATTTTAATTAAAAAAATATTTTAAAACATATATAAATAAAAAGATAGAAAATAACAAACTTTTTGAAATAGAAATAGTATTAATAGCACTCTTCTCTCATTTTCATTTGAAATATAAGCATTACATTTTGTGTATTTCCATCTTGACAATCAAATTCAAATGCTATAATCCTAATGTAACATCCCCGACTAATGATTTAAGTAGGTTGAGAATACTATCAACAATGTCTTACATTCTAAGTGTATTTCCACCTTGACAATCAAATTCAAATGCTATAATCCTAATGTAACATCCCCGACTAATGATTTAAGTAGGTTGAGAATATTATTGACAATGTCTCACATTCTAAGTGAACTAAATACGAGACACTAAGCCTTGTGTCTTTAATTGCATAAATAATTAACATTCGCGACAGAAGTTCATTTAATTTAATATTTATGTCCATCCTTAATATAAAAAGTGAGCTCATAAAATTTTCAAAACATTAATTCATTTAATAGAAATGGTAATTATAACTTAAAAATAGTATTTAATATAAATCAATTTATTAAATCACGTGAATATGTTTACCAAAATATGTCCAAAACTTGTATATGTAAAACTCAAAATAAACATTTTTATATAAATTTTCGGTTTAAATCATATGAAATTGCTACTTTAATTTTATCTAAATATCTTTTTGTAAAATTTTGGATTAAATATAAAATGAGTAATTTAATGTTTATCACTTAGCAAACCATTTAAATATAAATCCCATCGGATTATAAATTCTTCCAATTTAATAGAAAATCTTTAAGGTTAAAAATTCAATTGATTAACTTGATTAAAAACTAAATTTAACCCATTGAAAGCTAAATACCATGTCAAGCCCTTTCAAAGCTAATTTAGGTTTAGAAAACACCAATACATTTAATTATTCTATACTAATTAAAAACCATTGAATTTCTATTCTTTATGTGAATTAAGCCATTTAATCAATTAATCATTAATATCAATTAAATCCATGTTAATTTCCAAATTATTCAAATACAAATTTTTATGCTAATATCATTAAATATTTTGTTAATAAATATATATATAAATCAAATAATTTTGCTCAATATATAGATTCGATTTACATTAATCACCGGAACTAAAACTTCTATTCGCACCTGCACCATACGGATCGTTAACCCTACGTGTGTAATAATTTTTTGACCGCAACATAGCACGAGTATCTAACTATGTTTACCAAAATATGTCTAAAGACTTATATATGTAAAACTCAAAATAAACATTTTTATATAAATTTTTGGTTTAAATCATACGAAATTGCTACTTTAATTTTATCTAAATATTTTTTTGTAAAAATTCGGATTAAATATAAAATGAGTAATTCAATGTTTATCACTTAGCAAACCATTTGAATATAAATCCCATCAGATTATAAGTTCTTCCAATTTAATAGAAAATCTTTAAGGTTAAAAATTCAATTGATTGACTTGATTAAAGCTTCAAGTTAGCCTATTGAAAGCTAAATACTATGTCAAGTCCTTTGAAAGCTAATTTAGGTTTAGAGAACACCAATACATATAATTATTCCATACTAATTAAAAACCATTGAATTTGTATTCTTAATGTGAATTAGGCCATTTAATTAATTAATCATTAAATATCAATTAAATCCATGTTAATTTCTTATTAGAATCAATTTAATTACTTAAACCCTAAAACCAACTTTTAATTCATTTATTAATTGTAAGTCATAAAACCAAATTTAACTACCACTACACACACACTTTTATTTATTATTTAGAGTTGTCCCGAGAGCACCATTAATTTACATACGATAAGGACTAACCCTAGGACACATAGTAATGTCCAAAAACAGGAATGAAAAGAGAAGTTTAGGTCTTCAAACTCACAACTACATTTTAAGTACACTCATCGGCAAACCAAGCTTTGCTTGGAAACGACTTTAACCTCGAGATATACCATTATTTATCATTTTTTCTCACCTAAACTAGAAGAAGAAAATGTGAGCTATGCTTAGTAAGTGTAAGTCCATGCATGATCATATGCATGTGATGCATATAAAATCATTTCCTTTTGTGCCTTTTGAAATTTATTTTCCTCTTCAAGCACACACTCGCCAAACGTGTATTTATTAAACTCTCTTTTAAAACATGCAATTGTGAAAAACACAAAAGCACTAGACACATTCTCTTTCCCACTACCATTTCATTTTCTTTTTTCTCTTATTTTTCCTTTTCATCACAAGAGATTGATCATTCCTCTTGTAAGCCTTTTGAAAGTGTCTAGCCATTTTCTTTTTAAAAATCACGCCATTTCCTTTTCTTTTCATTAAAAATCATGAAGAAAAACCTTTTTCATAATTATGGTATGAGTATGCATGAAATGAAATGCCTTACCTTAACCTTCACATAAAATTTAAGCATTGACATGTACTAAATAAACAATTGCATGTATATAATCAACAATTGCACAAAAATTATCAAATATCATGAAAAATGGAGGTTGGCCGAATCATATGGCATCAATTAACTTAAGAAATTCAAACATCATGCTTTGGCCAAAACACATCACACAATCATAAGCATTCACATTAATCAATGACCATCTAAAACACATGCCAATTAACTCATATTAACCTTGTCATATAAAATTCATCAACCGACACACCAAGATTAGTCATGGATGAATCACCTCACTTGGTGTGCCTAACATCCAATCATCCAAATAACACATTTAATGACTCTAATTCATGTTTACATAATTCAATAAACATGATTTCGATACAATTACATGAAAGAAATTCATTCTTCCTTAAACATAGATTTGGTCGAACCATGCAACTAACATTTTCAAGATTAAACTTTCAATTAAACATATATATTCATATCTAAACAACCATATAATAACTAAATCAACACCATTACATAAACTAATTCCATTAAGCCTAAATTTGGATCTTTGTGGAATTATCCAAACAATAAAATCATGGAAAATTTTTTAATTAAACATATGAATTCATGTTTATTCAATCTTACAAACATTAAAACAACATAATTATATGGAACTAAATCAAATTTTCCAAATCCTTCACTTGGCCAAATAATTTAGCTCGAAACCATCAACTTATAATATTTAATTAAACTTCTAAACAAGATAATTCATCAATTAAAATCAAGATCACATAAAATAAATCTTCATTTTCTAACATAATCAGCAAGGTTCAACTAATCAAAGCAATTGAACACAAAACTTAATAGTTCTAAAACTTCATTCATCAATCATCTAACATCAAAAACATGAAATTCTTATGGCATAGTTGAGACTACACTTACCTTGATTGATGCTAAGTTGAATTTTGCCTTGAATTGCCTTGTTCTTCCTTTGTTCATCTTCCTTCTACTTTTCCTTCTTTGGCAAAATTAAAGAAGAATAATTGCTAGGATTTTGGCAAGTTTTGGGACACTTGGATGACTCCATTCATTTCCTTCACCTAGTTAAATTTCTAGAAAACTCTTCATTTTTATTGGTTTTTTTTTTAATTTCCTTTTTTTCTTCTTCCTTCTATTTGGCCAAATTATATGGCATCTCTTAATTCATTTCTTTTTACAATTTACGTTATCGTTAATCATCCTAATATAACTTAATCATTATTTTTCTAAATTTTACTTTTTGGTCACTTAAATTTATTAATTATTTCAAATGGGTTCTTATATTTTAGTCCTTAAACTTTTGATTTTTACAATCAAGCCCTTATCCTTAGGTTTTCTAGAGTTCATAATGGTCATTTAACTTTATCTCTTTATTTAA